GCATTTACTTGACTGGAAATCAGTATGTAAGATATTACTTATCTTGCCTCACAGAATATTCTGTACCACCTACAAGTGTGATTGAGGTATCATTACTGATCAACGTCTTCGCACTTTGTTAATTCTGGTCACTTGTTTATTTCCACAGTTTAGTAAAACAATAAAATGTCAGGTTAGTAAATTATTATTGTTGAACATTTGAAGGATTTAACCCATCTCATTCTTTTCACGTTTGATTGTAATTGACCACATTAAAAAAAGATCGGTTCATACCATTCGAAGTTAGTTTTCTGAATCTGTGCACCGCATACAAGCTTATCATTACGACAACTTGCACTGGGGTGTACAATAACCAACGACACATCTCACTTTCCCGAATTCAGGAAAGGACTCAAACCACCACCATACAATCTATTGTAATGTTGTCTCTACATGTATTCTGCGACTATGTGCCTGTTTTGAACTGTATTGTATACTCACCTAGTAGGACAGTCATAAAATACAAATTTCTGCAGGCTAAATTGAATAAAAATTAATACATCAGGCTAGTACATACTTCTTAAATTCAATTGGTGAGATTACAACGTGAAACAAGTTGAGCGGTGGTAGAGTACTCACAAAATCTGATGCCGAAATCCTGATTATTTGTGAATTGACGAACATGTTTGACTTAACACACTCTTTGTGAAAACGAAATAACCGAAAACTAGGAGAATATTCGCTGAGTAACTGATTGACTAAGTGTAGGAGTATGTGTTAATTCTTCATGTGTATCAACTAAACGATGAAGTTTGTCCACTCAACTGACTTCTGATGACAAATCATTAGTTTCTTTATCGAGTAAAAACACAAACTTACGCGTAAACCAGGTTAGAAAGAATATATGCCTGATTAAAATCTATTCACAAACTTTTTTGCATAAGTAGGTAATGGCTGAAGACAAAAGAAGACTTAGATTGTAAAGGCAGAGGTGAGTGAGTAGGTCATATTTTGCTCTACATAACCTCCCTCTCATCACTCAAACCCCCTTCGCTTTCATTAGCCACCTGATTACCTTGGGACCAGTCCTTTAACATAAGGCTATTTGAAATAGTCACACCAGAAAGCTAACTGTGAACAAACAGTAACTTGTGGTAAATGTGAACTCACTTGATGAAGACATTTTAAGATATTTGGATGAAACTTTAATTGCTGTATAACTAATCAGTGTTTGAAATGTATGTTCGTTTGTTGGTTACCTTAATTACTGTTGATAGACCAAGGTCAGAGCTTACAGTTGGATATTCCTGGCGGTTAAGATGACTTATGATGCACTCAACCACTTTATTTTTTATATAGGATCCAAGTTACTTATAAGTAGTTAAGCGTGTTAATAAAAATAAGGTACCAGTTGTTTTTTGGTTCTTAATTCCAGATACACAAAGCCAATACTAACTCAAGAATACATAAAAGGACTGAATCACACCCAAATATCGGTTACTGAGAGGTAAGTCATACCAATATTTTAAAATATCCTCATTCTTAGTGTCGATTACGTCTTCATATATAAGATAAAAGCTAAAATGAAGTAAATAACTCTTCTCAAATCTCTTGGTTGAAACAGTATCTCCTTATGTTTATGTGTGTGCTTTCGATCTAACATCCAGGCGTGTTTGCCTGCACTATATTCTACAAAATAACTTGGGTCTTCCTTCCTCCCCCACCTCTCTCATCTCCCTTTTTCTGCTTCTCAAACTTCACTTGTTCTTAGAAAAGCGATTAAATACGTTTAATAAAGCCGATTAAAGGAGTAGCAGAGATAATCCTTTCTTTTCTTTCCATCATAAGGGATAAACTGATTTTGTTTGCCACTTCAACCATGCACTTCTAGTCAAAACAACTCAGAACTTCACTAAACAAGTTGTTGGCTTAAATCGACTGGTCATTAGAGAGTAGCCAATTTCATCTTGTCTGGTCATGAGTGGTGACTGAATTTTATCGATCACTTTTCCCTTTGGCCACCAAGCAAGGAGGTTTACCATCGAAGTTGCAGATACGCCTTAGTGGCGAGTGCCAACAAATAGAAACATATATTCAGGACTTCCTGCCAGCTACCCCGCAACCAACTTACTTCTATGAGAGTATTGGCTTACTTCTAGGAAGACACAATGTTGCATTGACTTCCTGAAATATTAAGACTGTTTGAAGTGATAATAGCTCCTAGAACTACTTCATTATTATCTACTAGTTGCGTTACACTGTAGCGATTTTCAACTGTGTTGTAGATTCCTAGTTCACTGTTAGTCTGGCCTTCAGTCTATCGCCTACGCTACTGTTAGTTCAAATAAATGCATTTTAAGTGTCACTGATTTTCTTTTTTGGCACACAGCTTCTAATTCAAACTTGTCTGTGAACTGAATAATTAATTATTTACGTGAAATAACAGAGAAACAAATTGATTTATGGAATCAACCAGAAACATTTTCCTGCGTGTTTACATACGTTAACGAAGCCGATGATTCATTCTGTTTTGTCGATGCGTAAAAGAATTACTCGACAGAAATGTTTTGCAGATAAATATCTAGGTAACTGAAATGATGAATTCATTGTTTGGCTATTTATAGGTTAAAATAAGTAATACATGCTTGGGCCACGACAGTATTCTAACCGTGATCACCTCGTTTCCACTCTATTGCTCTACCAAATGAGCTACAAGACTTGCTGGTTCGAATCCTGCTGTGACTAAGATTATCATTTCACCTTCACAATCATCAATCCAACTCTGCCAGACCATGGCTATCTCAGATATTTAAACTGTGATGATATATGTTTGCGCATTGTAACACTAAGATTTTTCAAAGCTTTCGCATTATGGCAACCATTATGGTTGTAAGCATGCGAAATCTGCATACTTTCATATGCCAAAAACAGTAAAAGCGAATGACGTGGGGCAGATTTTTCGTGCAGCGTTCGAATAAAAATCTATATTTGACGTAAACGAACTAACTACTTCTTTACAGGTTTAGGATAATAACGAGATCATCAATACTCATCACAGCTCAGTCGTGCAACAAGCAACTCTTCATGTACTTTATATGTAGTGAATATGAAAACGTTTGATTTGAAAATTATAACTTACTGAAACCACTCAGTGGCGTGCTAAAGTTGAATTAGTTATCTAATCAGATGTGGAAACCTCGATTCATAGAACTCAAGATATATGTCAGATTTACCTGCTATTACTTCTTCTACCAATTATCTTGCATGTAAGAGAGAAAGTGCGCCTGAGGATGTCTACAAAGGTGCCACTTACTGCTAATATCTTCCTAACTAAACAGAAAACCTAGTGTAAGTCTGTTCTTTTATTGTGTTTATGTTCTTCAACTGGCTTATATTTTCACACAACAGTTTTTAAGAATATCAATTTACCGATTCATTTAACATATAAAACAAAACTGGAAGAAAGAAATGTACAAACACGACAAGAAGCCGCATAAATAGTACTACTGTGTGATAGATTTAAGTGTCTTAATCGGGTAAAAGTGTTCAAAATATTCATATATAACGACCCTTGATTTCCAGTCCCATATTTTGGTATTCTGCTTTTATAACTCGGTGTATGAAAGAAAATTGATTATGGAGAAAATGGCTTTCATCGTAGATTGATAACAGTCAGATAACCACATCGAATCGAGTAGCAAGTAACAAATATTTTGTCCTACTTTTCAGCTCCTGATCGATTCAATTTATTCATACATTTGTTTTGTTAGCTTATTAATTTCGCCACAGTTAATTCCACTGAAATCTTAAGTAAATGTACCTGAAACTTTTCAGCCTTGAAGGATTTTGGTTGACTTGTGAATCAATCACTTCTCATTTTCCTACATCTTGAACAACTTGTGAACCACATTTCCTGAACTACTAAGCAAAACTTTTACTTTTAACATATGAATTCGACAAATTTCTACCTAAGTTAGGCGGTATTACATAGACGTTTTCGTAAAACTGAACTATAAAGCAAATGCTACGCTTAACTATGTAACCTTTTTGGCCATGAAATAAAAATTTCTCGGTTTCCATATCATCGGACGTCAAGAATATGTACTCATCGAAAATATTGAAATAGGAATGGACAGTTTTCTTAACTTTCTTGTTCTCAGCTGAAACTCAACAGCATTTTACTTCAAGTTATTACCTGTTAAATCCATTTGGTTTCGCCATGAATGCATGCTAATACTCATTCCTTTCTCACCGGTCTCCTCATCACTTTCAATAATTGATTATATACCTGTATGTAAGTCAACTGTCTATCAACGAAGTAACTATAGCTTAAGCAATTAGTTTGATTTCCAGAATTGAAAGTTAAATTTCAGCAAGTCTTTGTTTCTTTATTTTTGCTCTCATTTGACTGGCACTTGTTGTGATAATCAAAAGTTTTGGTCTATTCAGTTTTCATCTTCGTAGTTGGTTTTGTTGTTGTCATCAGCATCTTCGTTTAACTTCTCTCCATCCGTTCTCTACCCTCCACTTCCTTTTTCTCTTCGTTAATTGTTCTTTTATTCTCATCATTCACATCTTCATTATATGTTGACAAACTTGCTACTCGGCTTGCTCAACACACAGTATAACACAAATGCACATATGGAATCCTTGAACATGACTGTGAATAACATAGGATATATATATATATATATATATATATATATATACGACGAGAAATAGCCTGCGTATACGCGTGGATGTGAAGTCATAGAAAAGACAGAAATGAACAGAACTTTTAATTAACTTAAGAATGAGCAACTTCTTTATGAGTGGATAGGTGAATAGAGTTGTTTACATAAATGGTCTGTGTGTAAGGGGCCACGAAAACAGAAATAACATTAGACAAGCAGTTAGGAATTTTCACATTCCTCATTAGCATCTCCACCTCCAAAGTCTGTTTTCACTTTTTGGGGAGTTATTTGAGTCATTTGTTGATGCAACCAATACCATTGGCACTACCACTATCACAGTAACAATAATTATAGTAATGGTAATAATAAGTGAGTAATAGTGGTAGTAGCAGTAGTAGTAGTAGTAGTAGTAGTAGTAGTAGTAGTAGTAGTAGTAGTAGTAGTAGTAGTAGTAGTAGTAGTAGTAGTAATAGTAGTAGTAGTAATGGTAGTAGTAGTAGTAGTAGTAATAGTAGTAGTAGTAATAGTAGTAGTAGTAGTAGTAGTAGTAGTAGTAGTAGTAGTAGTAATAGTAGTAGTAGTAGTAGTAGTAGTAGTAGTAGTAGTAGTAGTAGTAGTAGTAGTAGTAGTAGTAGTAGTAGTAGTAGTAGTAGTAGTAGTAGTAGTAGTAGTAGTAGTATCGAAGGCATTGTTCATTTTGTCCTACTGTGCTATTATTATTATTTTTATTGTTGATAAGTTCAACCAAATGAATTAACTCACCCTGTGTACAGATTTTACATTCATGAAATGATTGAATTTTCAGTTTCTCATCTGTCAGTTACCCTGAATTAATGTGTTATAAACATCTGCTTATTGTTTGGATTATTTTATTCTTTGTATTATTGCTATTACTACCGTTTTTATGTTCCTTATTTTCATCATGATTACTATTATCAGCATTTTCCGTATAAGGATATCCCAATTTTAGTTTTTATCATTACATTTTCAACTGTGCAAGAAATATTTCAGTTGTGAATAAATAGGAGTAAGTGAAATTTATGGAAAAGGTCATTCTCATAGTTCGATATACTCAGATTATAGACAGCGGAGTCCGTCACTGATGACATTAGCATACACCAGTAAAAATAGATTAGATACCAGTGACCTAAACACAAGCAAGTTGTTCATCTTTTCATGGATCAACCTCACAAGCGATCTGATCAAGAATCCAACTGTAAAAGCTGCATGCAATAAACTGCTGACCTATACGAATAACTGGAAAGTCATTTGCAGCACTTGGCGCTCACCAACTTCTAATGAAGTAATGAAACTCTAGTCTAAACAAAATAAGAATTATTCATTCTACACTAAACCAATTCCCCTTTAGTTCAAGGGTTTGAATTCGTGTAAAAACAATAATCAGGAGGATATGTATACGTTCAGGTAGACAGTTCAAAATATGGAGGAAAGTTATCCATTTTGTCAGTAAGACAATTTTAAAGAGATGCTTATGAGTTAGCATTGTTGCTGCAGTGATATATATCAAGCATGTTAGTTCCATATAATCTAGACAGAAAGGTAAAATATATGAGACTTTTCGTCATCACTAGTCTTCACATACTTTTCTGGTCCAGGCCAACTGCCTTTCTTGTCTCTTACTTCTTTCTGTCTTCCTTCCCTATGAACCTATTGGGCTAAGTTCAGTACAGAAGAATGAAATGTTTTGCAGCTAAATTAAATCCCTAATGAAAGAATAAAACTTGAGCACTATAGTAGATTACAATTTCATATTCGAATAGTATATTTGATATCACATACACATGCACACACCGTGGTATAGCATCATCTACCAGATTACGTTTTGCGCTCAATTCACTGCCCATAATCGTACCAAAGTAATAATCTGTGGCATAAGTTTGGAAATTTCTCCTACCACTAAAAAAACGATCGAATTATTTGCCTAGATTCATCATTAGCGCTACACAGAACTCCTTAAACTTCGATAACTCAGTGGCTGTGTAAGGCTGGACCACATTACCATTTTTCCAGTTACATGGATAATGCATGGAGGTAGAAAAGAACTTGGATCATGACAAGACTCCAACAAGTGCTCTTAAGGTCACCATTTTGGTCCTCCACCAACTGAGCTGAAGTCTTAAGAATTAACTAAGTCTCAGTATGACTTCAATGTTTAGGTACAGATAAGCAGTGTCATCTAGGATTTACCTCAGAATATGCAGTACTGAGTATGCTGAGACTCAGTCTGACGCCCGGAACCTTCCATTTACATGAAGCCTAGTCAGCAGTAATCTAGGAAATCATTTTACAAACAATTAATCTTCTCCAGGGTTATCTTTCATTTTATTATCTACTTCGACGAAATCTCACTGACTCTAAATACTGGGACCATCTTCTCTTTACTTATTGTATTCGCATTGTAAGAAGATTATTATAGACTGACTGATAGTGCTATGGATTAAAACAGGTTCTAGACGAAACCTTTTTTAAGTATCTCCTTTACCTAACTCGTTTGTGGTACTTAGTCTGCGACTTCAACACGGTCCATAATCTAGTTCACATAGAGGAGTGTGTACTAGGATAACAACAAGACAGAGTAGATGAGAATGTTTACACTTATTCTATACGAAGAAAATATTGACGAAACCACCAAGCATGGTGACGAAACGCTCAAAAACAAACCTCAGAGGTGGGAGAATACCAAATAATTATAATCCTCATCCTGGGCTACAAATCTTTTTTAAGATTATCATCACTCAGCTAAGAGAATGGTTGGTCATATGACAACAGCCGTAAGTTTGAAACTCCCATGTTATTGCCAGCTGTGCATAACATCAGTTTAAAACATTCTTAGGGGCTAGTCGGTAGAAAAAGACAACTTGTGCAAAAATCTTTATAGAAATGTGGTTGAAAAATAAATCTAATGTGAGGTCAATTTCCGGGATTATTCCACTGTTAAAATATTTGCAAACAGTTAGGGTCTATGGTATACATATCCCTTACAGAAGTTTCAATATTTAATTACTTTGCTGACAGTAGATTGGACATATACAAAATAATTATTCATAGTTGATTGCAGTATAGCAGTAGTGTTACACTAATAGCGAAAGTATATTGATCAATAACCTTTTTAATATCACTGTGACTGTTTACAATGAGCTTTCAGTATCTGTGGTTGGTATTTTTCTATCCAACATATTCACTTTGTATTCAGTGAAAATCAAGTAAATTTGAACGATGTTCATTCAAAGCATCAATTAAAAACTTGTTAATTATTTATCAGCCGCACCGTCCACGTCGACACTTTTCAGAACAGAGTAGCTTTCCAACTATCCAACTGTAGTGTTCACAAGGTTTCCATTACAAACCACCCAGCCATCTAGCACTTATTCTGATCTGTATAGTGAAGTCTGCAGATCAGTGAGAGAAGTTTCTAACTACTCATGTTTTTGGTGGCTGATACTTTTTAGAGGGATCACAATTATAACCTTCATTAATTGTTTTCAACAGAAACCCTGTTGACACCACAGTTGAACATCTGAGAAACTACTCACTTTTGAGATATGTCAACATGAACTATGCAATTTGTAAATAACTTTCAAATCGGTCATCCTGTTTGAGATATTTAGGTCTGTTTACATGTGGATCTGGACATTCAGCTGTGTTAGCTGGATTTATCATGGTATATTATTGATGACCATAGCCAGAAATGATTGAGACGATCCTCTACTCTTTACGTCATTTTGAACTGGTAAACGAAACATGAATAAACTCTAACTGCTCATGGCTTTTTCATTAGCATATTATATATATATATATATATATATATATATATATATATATGCAGTACATATCATCACTTACACTCCTTTTTGACTGCGATCATATGATTTCTCATGCATTCTATAGGTGACTTGTATCGCTACTGAAGAACTGTACTGAAAAGTTGGGTAGTCAAGCCTAGGCAGTTGCTGAGATGTAGCCGGTAACTGGAATTATATTTGACATTTTCCAAAGATTCTTCATCTACTTTGAGTTGTAGTCTTTCTACCTGAGGTCAAATTTCTTACCATTGTGCTGTTTAGTATCAAAACTAGTCCTTACACCACTCTAAAATGTTTATCACAATGATTGACACTCCCATTTGTTTCCAAGTGGTACTGAATCTCTTACTTGAGATAAGACTCATAATCTATTACAACTACAATGTATAATACCATCTTAGATGGTTGCATACAGTCGACAGGAATTCACATGAGATTTATAACTCATACATGAAGTCTACAGCTGCAAAAATAAAGGGCTTAAGGTGAATCTCTTAGGAAAAGATAGCCACATAGATTTGAGGGGTCTGAGCTGCTGATGAGAGCCAGCAGACACGAAACCTTTGTCCATAGCTGTTTGACAATGGTGTTGAACATTCTGAACATTCTGACACTAAAAGACTCATCAACAGAATTTAATCAGCACCCAAACGAGCTTGATGTGTGTGTTACTCATGACAACTTTGTGGTTGAAAGTTCTATTTATTTAGGGATGATGATGATAAGTGCAATACCAAGAGAACTGTCTTCAATAAACCGATAAATAACAAAAGCCACCAGTCTAAGCAGTCAGATTAACTTTCAACTTTAAACCGGAGAATGCTCATAAATCCTGTATGCATACATAACATCTCATTGATTTAAGCTAGAAATCCTCTCCCTTTTTCTCTTTTTTTAACATGATTGCCCAGTTATACTGTTGTTGTGACACTTAACTGTCATGTAACCGGTTAACTGACAAATGAATTTGTTTACTTGACTTAACTATAATGAATATGCGTTGCATAAGATGTCACAGTGTAGACAGTAATTTCATTTTTCTGCTAGACTAAAATAACGGACATTTTCCCATCTCAGTAGAAGTAGCATATTCAGCATTATCCTAAAGGATTGAATTCATATTCGGTTACACGTATGGACCATGGACACACGCTGACACAGCTTCTAGGTATGTATACCTACATTTCAGGGTCAAACTTTTTCCAAAATATAGTCAAAATCATATTTAATTATTCATTCCTAGTATTATCATTAGTAGTAGTAGTAGTAGCCTGAGGCATTTTATTGGGATGCACGACAAAGAATAACACTAACATCCGTAGGTAAATCGAGCCCTTATTTCTTTTTTCAAAGAGTCATGACATACATATTAACTGGACACGTATACAACAAAGCATATCTCATTCACTCTCTCTCTCTGCTGGCCAATATATGTCCGTTTGTTGTCACTATTGTCGTTGTACTTGTGGCTTTTATGCAATGGTATCAGACCTGTGTCTTTTTTACATTTTGATCTGTAATAGACTTCTGTGTGTACGTGTATTTATATATGTATATGCATAGGTTTAAATGAATGTAGAAACACTCTCCCTTCTATGTTATTGTTACTGTTTTCTCTCAATAAAATTCTTTAAAATTCGACATGAGTCCCTCTTGGACTTGTCCTCCCATCCTTGTATACTAACGCTATTAATGCTCTCTGCTTCATCATCCTCTTCTGCCTTATTTATAAACAGAAGTACCTACACACACATACTCACATACAAATGCATACAAACAAGCCACGTACATTTGGGGAAATGAACATGAGATAGACACGTGGTACATATATTGGTGTATGTGATACTGACATGTATGTACACACACATATATATATCAGCTTATTTATCCCATTCTACAGAGTCAAAAATTAAATGAATTGAAAAGTGTGGAACATGAAGAGTCTAATGTGAATTCATTTGACATAACAGTAGATTATATAAACAACCGAACCAGTTGGAACAGAATTAATTCAGAAATTCACATTATCATTACTTACAACATTACTGTAATTTCTCTTGAACGCCTATAGAACTCTGGCATACTTCAGTAAAAGCATCAAAACTGATACCTTCAACTCATTCAAATATAAAAAGGATTCAGTTAATTTGCCGCCGATTACCACTCTTGTATACACATGAACTTGCTAGGAAAAGCTAGTCATATTGTTTTTTAGAAACTAGATAGAGCAAGAGAAGCCATTTATTTTTATCTCCTTCAAAGAAGGCCATAATAGGAGAAAGGAAAAAATTCGAAAGGAATAAGCATATTGGAGTCTTTTTTTCGATCCATCTAATGTCTCCTTGTTCTGTATACTACTTCGATTCCTTTGTACATATCTACGCCATCATATCCTATGAGTTCAATACGCATTGATTCCGTCTATCCAAATCTACTGATATTATTGACCGATTGGAATTTTACAAAACAGATCAATTTAAATGAATGTAATGTTACCTAAAAACTATTATTTAATCACCGATAGTGATACTCAAGGCTACCACTGCTCACAACAATAGCAGTAACTAACCAAGGTGGTGGTAATTGTGGCGATTAGGACATTGATAACAGCGCCAGTATACAACTTCCTCTCTCTTTCTCCTTCTCTTTATTCCTCCTTTGAAACCATAGTTTAAAGTTGTAAACATGTACCTCAACATTTTACTGAGGACGTTTTTCTTGCTCACTCTACTACAATAAATAAAACCAGATTTACAGTAAAAAGATACATTGATCGAAATTATCATTGAACTAACTACTCGATTAACAGCAAAGGATAGCTACAGTAAAAACATTGTGGAATATAGTAACACTTAATTTTATCCAACATTCCGAGGCTCATCATAACTGTGAATAGCTAAGAAGCTGTTTATCAATCAGGTGGACAAATTCAATTCATTTCCTGTATTCTAAAAAAATGACCGGTCTACTCAATCAATATTCAAAAGATTATCTTATCACTTTCTCCATCAAACTGACAAATTTTCTAGTCTTTTCATCGTGTTTTCCTCACCAATTCAACTTATCCCACATTTCACACTACAGTCAAGAACAAAAAATACACAAATTTGAGGTGGCTACCAGGCTGTCCCAACTGTGCATTGTCTCTGCGTATACTGATTTTAGAAACTGTCCAATAATTCCGTCCCACTTCTTACAAAGATATTTCCACAGACCGACTACAGCTAAGTAACTTGGAGAACACAATCTCCCTCACTGATCCTATAGACTTTACTATATCATGGCACGTGGGGCTGGTGGTCTGTTAGACGGTGGATTTGTATTCAAATTGGGAAGGCTATTCAAAACTCCTTATGGTGGTGAAGGTGTTGATTTTGTTGATCAGTTGAATTATCAGTTCACTGGTGGACTTATGGTGATATTTATAGCAATTATCAGCTTGAGACAATATGTTGGTGAGTATACCTAACTTTTTATATACATACAACTATTATTCGTTGATTTCATGGTTTTAAAATTTCGTAAAATTAATTTCATTTTTGCAATAATGTTCATTTATTTTCCATTGTATGTGCTGAGACTATGTTGAAATGTGATTTCTTCTTCTTCTTCAAAGTTTAACAATAAATTTTAAACTAAAGGCATCATTTGTGATTGAACGTATATCACTATACGCCTTGAGGTAAGTTCAGCGACCTTGATGATTTCAGTCATGACCTTGACTGGAAGTATAGCCCCTGGACAGTTGAATACCATGTGAATTAGACCAAAGCTGATATGAAGTGCAGATATCTGTAATTTTGCAGTAATTTCCTGAGATTCTCTTTAAATTATGTGGTAAACTTAAGTGATTCCCAATGCCACGGTTTTAGTTTTTGCCTGAATTCTTTTGGCTGTTTCATTTAGGAATCCTGTTTGTGTGAATGTCTGAACATGATTCACAATTACCAGATCAATTTACACTATTGAACAAAATGAGTTCTAACTTTACTAGTGGGATTGATTTCCTCATCAGTTTAACTACACTTTACTAACTGCCGCTAGCAAAACAAATTCACAGCCTATGACTTCTAATCAGTCAACTGACACTGGATGAAACTATCTGCAAGGATGATAGTGAATAGGATGATAATGATACTGAATGAATAACAGTCTGTTGTTCCTGTTGTTGTTATCGTCGTTACCATTTTTCGTCGCTATCACTGTTTTTTAAAGGTAATAAAAAGAAATCTGAAATATTCAAACGAAATAGGCGAGAAAGAGATAATTGATAAAAGGACAGAGAGTATCATTCAGCAGTTTAAGCACATAAGGAGCTATGAAACGCATCCTCCTCCTCCTCCTCCTCCTGTACTTTCTTCGTTTAATTCAAGGTATTCACTACATGACATGTAGGGATGCATCATTCGCCATTGTTGTGATTATAAAAAAAGAAATTAATTAGTGTACATTTACCGACATGAATGGGAAAACGCATTAATGGTTGAATATTCTTTTCAGTTTATACTCTGATGGGTGATTCTTCTGCTACCATTAATAGTGATCTAAATTTGGAATTTTTAATATTTGTTTTTTCGTTTTCGGTTTATTGTTGTTTATGCAAAGCAGGAAGTCGTGTTTGAATTTAAAATTGAATTGATGCAGTTAATAAAAACAAGTCAGTCTATACGTGTGTTGATTGGTTTGATACGACTATAAATGTATACGAGGGGATATTACAGATAGTAAGGATTTGCCACTCAGTTCATGAAGATACTTTCAGTGGTAGATGCTCATAGTCATTTGAACAGCTATAGAAACTGCTGAATAAATTAGTTATACCCCTTTTTGCATATTTTAGTGGTGATACTGCTTAGTAGACTTTAATTTTTATAGGGTAAACGCTTGAGTTTCATTCTGGATATTACTTCGCTCGCATTTCAACGGAACAATTGAGGTGGTACAGTAAAGTTTTTATAAGTTCGATGTCTTCACATAATACATGATAAAGATGATGAAATATTCCCTTCATTTGTAGTAGATGCACTAACAGAAAGGAGATGAGGTGAACTCTGAGCTCAATAGTGATTCCGAACACATTTCTGTTAGTCCTTATCTTGAAGCAATCATCGTATATTTCGATTTTTAAAATGTGTATTCTACAAAACTAATTCTGGTGATTCCTTGTCCTATTCTGTTCTTGTTTTGTTACAAATCTAGTCAAAGTGCTGCATAAGACTTCAGTGTTCATGGATATGCCATGCTTTCAAGGTTATTCACTGGCCTTCACTATTTAATAACTCTGTAGTTTAGTGTCGAAGTGTATTCTGTTTACAGGCACAATTTATTTTATAGTTTTTATATAACCATTGAAGTGAATAGTTGACTGCATAAAGTTGTTACGTAGTTAATAATTGGTGTACTGTTTTGTTTTATTCACCATCTGTTTTTTTTTAAAATTATTCACTGACGCGTGACTAATTTTTTGATTTCTCTCATCTTTGGGCTGTGTGGCGCATGCTTACTGAAACAAGAAAATAATGAAAGCATTTTCCTCTGAGGAAGTCTGAATAACATTTAGCTTCTTGATAAATACATTATAGTAAAATTCCTTTTCAGCATACTTTATACTAAAAGGTTTCTGACTTTAGTGATATGGATACCAATTTTTGAAGTGACATTAGTACTTTTAAGGTTTCAGATATGTCTGTTTAATGAAAACCAATAGGAGTAGAACATGTGTCTAAGGTGTTTCATCAACTGCTTCTATACGCTAAACAAAAATGTGTTCGAATACTTCTTCCCGCACAAATAATCAGGTTAGGTGATTTTGTTTGAACTGTAGGGTGTGTACAGTTAGCACTGATCTGTGCCTTGTCTTTAATAACTACCACTCACATTAGTAATAAAGTTGGTTCTACACACAAGTGGCGACAAGAGCACAATTAGAACCCGAAATCTTGTTATGCATGTGCTGTGTTAAAGAGGTATAGAATAAGCTCCTGTGAAGTTTGCTCAATACATTTTACTGGTTGGTGCAGAAATGAACAGTTCTAGCTTTGATAATGATCGACTGAATTCAGTCATCTGACCTCAGGGTTGTAGGTTATTGAGTTTAACACAGAACACAAAATCAGTTAAGCCAAGTCACTTGGTTTTATGCGCTGAAGAGGACTAACAATAGACGATAATTTACACACTTCAACAGTAGACTTGTTTCGTTTTGTTTACTGGTCAGATAAAGTCGTGGATTAGGGAGAAGTGTGAACTATAAAATTTGTCAAAGGTTACTGAAGTGTTTCTACATTGTGGGGGTTCTACTTTGTTCTGCAAACATTCTCTCTGTTCTAAATATCTAATCGAAAAATATTACTTTATCTCAATTAAAAATTCGATGTTTTCACTACGCATAGCTTGCAAATATGCAAATATCCGTGTAGATTTTGTGTAATATAGATTCTACCATGTACCTCTGAATACTTTCCCTGTGTTAGATATGTTACCCAGGTTTTAAGCAAAGTTAGGCAGGGAAAGGAGAAAAGGCAGGCTTGTTTTCTTGCTGCAGCTATAAAAAACAAAATCGTATGTGAAGACAAGATATAGTTGCTCTTTGGCAGCTGACAAATAACTCCGACTGTCCAACTAAGTAAATACAGTAGAATAATAGTGCCACAAACGATAAGGTAAGCGTTCCGGTGTAATATTTGAGCGGACAGCAGTCGCACGATAAAATAAATGTTGATAAGCCTGGAACATCCTCTAGTTCCTCTGCATTTCAGCTAACACATTTTACTGTTAGGAAACTTCAAAGTCAGCTTTGTGGAAGAAAATGTGAGGGTTATCCACAATTTGAGAAAGTATCTAAAAAGCCATATATCCTGTAGAACGTCTGAAACGGATATATCATGAACAATTAACGCTGTATGCAGATAACTAAACTGTGCTGAAACCTGTTTCCAGGAGAGAGTTCAAACAACCGACTTTCAAAGAATTAGATGTGAAGCTATATTCACATGTATGCATGATTTACTGATTTATGTATTCCCAACGTTAACGTGCTGTTTACTGGACTCGTCCTCTGAAGAGTAATCGGTAACTACTTACCTCCTTATTTAAAGAAACGAGAACATGGTGAAGACAATCAATCAAGTTTGAGTGGTAAGTATGAGATTAAGAAAGGTGAAGAAGACCTAATCAATCATCGGTCAGAGAAGACAGAAAGTATACTCATAGGCAGAAAACTAAATTCGTCTACTTCATTCCCTTTTTTGTTTGTTTAACAAAATTAGTTGTTGGAAATCAGCTTTGTTTACTTATTATTCAGATGACCCGCTCAAATTTCTTTTTGACTCAATAGAAGATCTACCTAGCTAAAAGCTATTAACTTTTAAGTATTTCTATGTATTCCAGAAGACTTAAAATGTCAAATTAATTGGGCTATTCGACAACTAACAAAGACATAAACTTGTGTATACTGAGTGAAATACGCTTATTCATCAGGTATCCCAGTTATCCAAAGAACCATATATCACACTCATAATGGACATAATGGTATTCAAAGTAAACTTCACAAATAAACCTTAGTCTCTTTCTTAACCTTTGATCTTACTTAACAATCTTATCAGGTGAGCAAAACTGTTCTGACCACATATATCTCATGATACTTTCTTTTTCAAACCTGCTTCCTAAATTGGTTTCAAATTCTGAATAAAGCAGCTGATGATTAGAAAGTGTGATGTGATTGACACTTCCTTGACTTACCGAAGAAACCTAACAGTGCAAGTGACAGAAAGTCAAAAAAGTTAACTTCCATTTCGGCTGCGTCATTCATCTTCATAGATTAGAATTATGAACGCATTCATCATCATAAAGGATGTCGTATTTCATTGGCTGTAGACTCGCAAGTAAAAGAGTTGGGTGAAAAACATTAAAAGTTCAAGAGTTCGTCACTGCATCATCGCGAAAATCATCCAGGCATCTGAGAAGAACCTTGCTCCTCATAAAAATTTATTCATTCACTCATTTCTAAATAACTAGCTATTTCTAAGTAGAGTCCGCAAAAAGGAGACATCAATTTCGAAAAGATATGGCCAACTCCTACAGCGAAGAAACAAAATAAGAAAAATTAATCTCTCAAAAGAAAGGAAGAACCTGGAAGTTGTCTAGAATTGAGTACTGATTCAATTCTATCAATCATTTCTCATTGTGGTCACCAATCTAGGAGACTCACCATCTCGATGCACTTGGATGCATGTTAGTTGCATGGAGGTAAGTGGCAGGAAGCCTTGGACGTAGAATTCGTGCTTGTTGGGACTCGTTGGCAAGGCTTGTCTGTAACCTCAAGAGAAAAGATATCTCCAATTCGAATAACTCAGTGTTAACGCCGGCTTAAATCCCTGAGATGACATTAGTTCTCCCGAGTTAGTAAATACGCCTTACTGACGAGTGTCAACAAGCATGAAACCTAGGTCCACGG